TTGTTTAACCTTCCTAAGATACAGAGAATTAAACTCTAATGTGAGTTTTGGTTTTTAGCTGGTTCAAATTGACCTCTTTTAGATTTTGGTTGTTTATAGTTTTTGGGGTTAATTTGAATGGACTTCGGGTGATGGGTCTCGAAGATTTTATGGTATACATTATGTCATATTTAGATTCTTGCTCCATTGTAAACTCTCCATCTCATAATTTGAGTTTGAGCATCCGAGGAAATGAGGGATTACTAAGGGAGTGAAAAAAGTGTGAGTAGAGTTGGGAACAAAAGCAGTAGCAAAGGTTGAAAGGACTGAATTCTCGGATGAGTGATTCACGGGTGGAGGAGGTGCAGTAGAGTGTTTTGAAGTTGAAGGTGTTGCTACAAGTTTTGCAGAAGTTGCAGCAAATTTTGGGCCATAGTCTAAAATTTTGATGTGTGTTTTGTTAAACCCGTGAACTGTTGATGAATGAAGCTGCAACTTATGGGTGTGTTAAGAAATTTTGTTTAACTGATGGTGTTAAGGGGAAATTTCTTAACACTCTCAAACCAAAAATTTTGAAATTAATTTTTTTATGCTTTTTTTTGGATTTGAGATTAATATGCAAATCTTGCCCCTTCGAAATCAAATTCTACTTTTCAGACTAAAAGAGAATGTAATGGAACAGAGTGATAATAAATTTCCAAATAGAGTGTTAAGAAATTTCCAAAAGTGATATGTCACACACTTTAATAGTATAGAATAATTATCATTATAGGACAAATTTGAAATTACTCTTTTTTATACTCTTTTTTTTTGGAATTTGAGATTGATATGCCCCTTTGAAATCAAATTCTACTTTTCAAAATCCAATTTCAATATTTTGATGTTAACCTCATACCAAAAGATTCTAAAGTCTGATGGATTCTTAATGTTTGGGCATTTTAAAAAAAATTAATCTGCATTTGATTTCATTTTTAAAATGTTGAGGATATACTTTTATGCAATTTTTAATCTCACCATATTTTCCCTTTAGATTTGAGTAAAAGTTTATCTTTAAAATTTGATATTTAAAATTATTATGTTTTTAATTACACCATCAATTCTATACTCAAGTGTGTAATTTTATTTGGTTTTGAGGTACATTACGTGATCATGTGGTAATGTTTTTCTACACAATTTTATGTTTATGAAAATTTTTTCATATTTATTATTAGACTTCATAAAGAACAAGGTAGTATGTTAATTCATAGCATTTCTTTTTCTAAGCTAGAGTGTGGTGAGAATGATCTGTAGGGTCCGAACAAATGTGCGTTTCATTATTCAAAGATTTTGGGTATAAAGCCTATAAGCATTTGATCTATGTGATACTATTTGAAATTAAAGAAATATTTAATTTAAAATTATTTTTTGGTGATCGTGGTTTTGTTTTCATGTTTATTTGCACGAAAGAGATGCAATAAAATTGGGTTAATGAAAATAAATATGTGCTTTTGGTTTAGGAAAACATGGTTTATCAATCTATTTTTTACAATAAAATTAAATTAAGAAAAAAATTAAGTCCGTAGAAATTTACGAAGTGTTTAAGTTTGTAACAACCTATTCTAGATTATGAGTTCAATTTGATCCAAACAATAATTATTAAAGTAAATGTTTTGGTCTTCCCGAACTTTGTTTTCGGGCATCCTATGCCTTGACAGATTTATACTCCTTGGATAGTTACTCTTTTGAGTTTGAGTTTTATTGTTTGCTTATTTGTGCTTGGTATTGAAATGTTGTATGCCTGTATCATGGAGTTTTTTTATTTAACTTTCAAATGTATAGAGTATGTGTATGTGTGTGTGTTCATGGAAATAAATGAAACACTAACACATAGAACATTAAATGTATCCTTGAGAAATGATAACGTGTTTTTATTTGTTGATATATTAATAAATGTTCTTGAGGGTGTGCTCTATTGTTTTTTGTACTCATTGGATATAAGTGAGGTATAATTTTTGTTATGAAGGATATATATATATATATATATATATATATATATATATATATATATATATATATATATATATATATATATATATATTCTAAAAAAAACCAAGTCAATAGCATTTAGTTTTACCGTGCAACGCACGGGTAAAATCTAGTGCATTACCGAGAATATAATATGCATTGTAACTCTAGACAATGCATCCTTTTATTTTGTATTCTAAAAGTCAAAGTTGATGCATCTCTTAGTGAAATTCTTCTCATACAAATATGATGCATCAGTATAGTCTATAAATTGATTTTTCGCAAACGATGATGCATTGAAATATTTTATCATACATTTGAGCATAGGCTAGAAATACGTTGATGAATGATGCCAATTTTAAATATGAAACTATGTATTTAATAGGTCCAAGTGCAAGATAAGAGTCTATTTGAAAAAACAAATTGTTGCCTATTAGCTCAAATGGTAGAGCGATATGTACTATGGATGTGGGTTCGAATCCCGCATAGGCAAACTATTTCTCAAACATGTATTATACTTATTTTTGAATACAATACATTTTCAGGCTTTTTCATCACATATAAAGTCACCAAAAAATCATTATTCACAACCCACTAATTAATAGAATACAATTTGAGAATACAATTTGAGTAAAATTGACCAACCCATTTTTAGTTGGTCAAAGCATTTAATTCGTAAAATAAACCTAACTCGTTTGATGCATCTGATCTAGCGTCTATATTTTATTCTCATTTCTTTCATGGAGAGTTATTCTCACAGGAATTAGCTCCTATATATATATATCCTTTATCCTTTACTATAATAAAGGAGACTCCGATTCACAGAAATTTGACATTTGGCGTGTCTACGTGGAAAATTTTTAACATGTCAGCGCCACGTAATAACTGAGTAAAATTTAAAAAATATTATTACAGAGTGCACCAGAAGAAGAAAGAGGAAAAAAGAAAGCGAAAATCCTTTACTATAATATTTGAGACTCGACTCACAGAATTTTGACATATGACGGGTCTGATTGGCATTTTTAACAACCGCTACCTATTTATTATTTTAATGAGTTGTAATTTTAATCAATATACGGAATAGTGATTTGGCATTATTTTAATTTATTGTTTATTGCTTGAATATATATAGTGACCAAATTAATACTCTATCTACCCCTAAAAACTCTTCCTATTATGACTTTTTTGGTCAAATAGTGACATTCTTTGACTGCAAATTGCGAGAAAAGTATATTTAATTGTAATATAAATTTAATATAACCTTACGATATAGTTTTGACATCAAAATTTTATAACATTTATTTATTTAGATTATAATTAATTTATGGTCAAATCATTATTTGACCAAAGAAGTCAAAACAAAAAGAGTTTTCTCGGATGGAGGGAGTAGTTTTTTATTCGTTTCACGCGGTTAATCTTAAGAATTAGTAATTCTATTGTTTCTAACACTCTGATTTGTTTTCTTAATAGTATGTTTGACCATTTAAATTTCTTAAAATATATTAGTAAAA